GACTCAGAACGTAGCAAGCAGAAATGCAACAAGCAACTACCAGTCAAGGAAGTAAAGAACAGCAGAACCTAATCTTTTCTCCACCAAGAATCTAAGCTCTCAAAAGAGAAAGAAAATTGAAAAAAGAAAGCTTCCAGAAAGCAAAGAAGGAAGAACGAATAACCGAGGATTTTACTAGTATTTCTTTTGTACGATCTCCGCTAGTTTTCGAAGATGATCATAGAAATCCAAGGATTATGACGCGGGAACAGGCTTCGATTCTTTGAGAGCTTGGAATCGTTGCTCCCCAAGTCCAAGTTCCCATCTCTGAACAATTAAAAAAACAGTCCAGATTCGATTTTCCTCAACGAAGCGTCAAAGCAGCTTCTCCTTCGCCATGAAAACACCTTGGAAGTTAGTTCTACTCACAGCTTCTTCCTTCTCCACCGAGAGACAACATGCATCGTTCGAACCACCATTAAAGGACCATCAACTTCAACCCCTCGTCAAATCACTGCTCGTTGGAGAATACCAGGTCAAGGTGAACTGACCGGAGCGGTCGCCGGTGCCGGAGAGGGAGAACTCGGTGGGGAGAAGAACGGGGTTCAGGGGACCGGCAGTTCAAGCACGCGGGAATGTTTGACTCGGTTTTGGGGCTAACGGGAGGAGCTAACGGCCATCCCGTTAGCCCCGCACGCGGGACAAGCTAATTGCGTGCGAGGGGACAGAAGGAGCGTGTGGGGACGTTTGTGGGGCGAGAGCCGGTGGGGCACTCCTTAAGCTTAGCGCAAGCTCTGGCTTAGGTCCTAGGTTCAATGCACAATAATACTAGGGCTCTCACTCCTGCAACAACAATACTTGAATTCAAGTTCGATTGGGCTTGGCCCATTGTCAAATGAATTATTATTTCATATTTGTTTGTATTTGCATTTCACATCCATAAATTTGACCAACTAACAAATGGTGCATAAAATACTAATAAAAAACTGGTTTTATCCAGCAGAAACAACAAAAATTGAGGGTTTAAAAGGCACTTACTTAAGTTGTGTTTGATTTAATAAAAAATAAGAGAGAAACAGAAGATTCTTCAAGTTTTATAAAATACCTTAATAATTTTACTTAACAAATACTACCATCATTCTATTTAATGATATTATATTAAAACTACATCCTCCAAATAAATATCATTTTATAATTTAACTTTATTAACCATACGAGTTTTTCATCTCGCATTAATATTAGATTAGATTTTTTAATAGAAAAAATAAAGCCTTATAGGTACACCACCATTCACCAATCCTCTCTCTCTCTCTCAAAATGGAACAAACCCGATTCGTGATCGAATCGGCCGATGTCCGATCAGTGGCGGAAGAGTCAGGGCTCTCACTCCTGCAACTCCTTACATCGTTGGTCAAATCCACACAGACCCTAGCGAGCCCCCCCATCTCCAAATACCATGTCGGAGCAGTCGGGTTGGGATCGGACAGTCGAATCTTCTTGGGAGTGAACCTCGAATTCCCTGGACTCCCTCTCCACCACTCCATTCACACCGAGCAATTCCTGATTACCAATGCAGCCATCCATGGCAGCACCCAGCTTCGATACATCACCATCTTATCGGTGCAGTGTGGCCACTGCCGCCAATACATACAAGAAATACATGGGGCTTCCAATATGTTCTCCATGTCTACCCACGAGAACTCTGCCCACGTCTTATTGACTCCGGATCACCTGCCCACCAGAACTCTGCCCACGTCTCGGTCATATCGACCAAAAACGAGGGAGACAACCATGAAAACCCAGCGTTTTGGATTTCCTGCCCCAGAGATTCGGTCCCGACAATATGCTGGCCAAGGATGTGCCATTATATCTGGAGCCCCATCACAACAGTGTAACCTTCAGTGACAATGACCACGAGGTCCACAACGACAGTGTTGTCAAGATTAACAGCGAGGCCAATGCTATAACAACGGCAGAAGTGTAACAGATCATAACAAGAAACTGAAGTATGCAGCACTGGAAGTGGCGAACAAATCCCACGCACCTTACAGAGGATGCCCATCTAGGGTGGCTCTAAAGGACACCGAAGGGAAGGTCTATAAAGGGTCGTATGTGGAATCAGCGGCATATAATTCAAACCTGGGGCCGGTTCAGGCAGTGGTGGTGGATGCCAGAAGATCATGGCAGGGGCGTTGGTGGAGAAGAAAGGAGAAGTGGTGGTACAGTCAGGCAGAGCACGACTGTTACTACAACCACGATGTGATTTTGTAGTGTACCATTGCAATTCGTCTCCTTTCTTGATTTAGCTTTGATACCAATTGTTCCGTTCCCGATAGAACGTAACAGTAACTAATTCGTTTTCGTTGGAGGAAGACAAAAGAATCTCTATGGGAAACTGTAATGATGAATAACGATAAAGTTGTTCAAAATAATCATTGAGAATGAAAATTTCAAGGTGAACATGCAGACTCCTACTGACTCGTGTATTCTCATGACTCCTAAAATGTTAAATCCACTCACCAACTCGACTCTTTACAACTTGCAACTAATTTCTAACTTCTAAAGACATGGTCCACTGAGACTACTAACAACTCATTATAACTAATGACTCCATGCTACAGTGACGGGCCAACATTGTAAAGCATCTCAAATTCTCAAAACTTTAATATTGAAAAGTTGGTAGAATCTCTAACTGGTTGTTACAGAGGCCTAGATCAAGCTGCCACCAGAGTTAGGTTGGGGGTAATGAATGCAAAAACATTATGAATTCTGAGGTGGGCTGCACTCAAATTAGCCCATGCAATTATATAAGTGTGAACTGGATTCTAGGATTCTAGATACTAACTCTTCGTACCAGAATCCATTTCTCATGGTCATGACCTTTCCTAGAGAAAAGCTAGGCATCGAGGAGAGTAGAATATTAGATAGAAACCTGGAAAAGTGGAAATGCCCAATGGTACTGGGATTTAATAAATTAAAGGATGTAGAGACTTAATAAAGTAAAGGACAAGATGGTTTCATAAACACGTGAGAATACGTGCTTCAATCCAAATGACTGATAGAATGAGAAATTGGCTGGAGTGAAGTGTTGACTTGTAAGTACATCGTCACAAATGAAAGTTGAAACCGTCACTACCCTCAAAACACATGGTACCTCCCCTGTAATTTTTCCAAAAAAATCGTGCATATCAACAACTCTCTGAAAGAATCTGTGCTCTTCGCTAAATTTATTGTTAAGGGGCCATAGAGAGGAGGTGCCAAGGGAATTCGTAATACTTCCATTACCAGAGAGCAGGGGCCATAGAAAGTAGAACTCCACGTCCATACCCTGCGGCTTGGGCCAAGCCATGAAACCAGATATGGATCACTTAAATACAACTATTCTTTGCGTTCCATATAATGTTACATCCTGTTGTTGTCTTGTAACAAGGGTAAGTAAAATATACCCAATGAGGTTTTGGGAAGATGAAAGCAGAAAACCTTATCGATCTGCTTCTTACAAAATTAAAATAAAGGGGGGAAATGAACGTCGATGGTAACAGCAACAACAGCATGTCACTTGATCCTAGGAAACATGGCGACGCTGAGATTATGCACCAGTTTTTAATAGCCATACATTACACATCGTTGAACAAATGGCGAGTTCACAACCCGAGGAAGGCACACTGCTTCCTTGCATGTTCAGGGATCAACTTCAACAACATCTCTTTTGGCACCCCTTTCAGTTCTGATCAACGGCCGGACATCATCATATACCAACAATGTTAGGCATGCACAGCAGAGCTCGATCTGCTGACCATGACATATTGCTGACCACATTCACCCAACCACACATTGGGAACATCGGTTGTACTTTACATTGTTGATATTCCCGATGTACAGCTGGATGATGAACATGGCCAGCGATGTGTTGCGGTCAGCAGATCCAGACTGCACAGCACACACAAAGTAGTTAAATAAAAAATTGTTTCAATATCTAAAAGAAGGTACATACCATGAGGCTTGAAGTTGAATAATGGGGGCATGAAGCGTCCATTTGGTAAGCGAGTATTTGGGTCTCGTAGCTCATCGAAGAAGGGATGAATCAAGGCTTCTAGCTGCATTACATATTGTCAATCTCAGTCCTAATTTCATTAAAGAGGGGAAGCAAATGAAAATTTTGCAACCAACATGCAAAGGAATCCATTGTGCAATGTCTAATGCTGAGGCCTAGTACCCACTAACCTGGCAGCATCCCAAAGTCCAACAAGGAAACGATTATAATGTATGAACTAATTTGAATCAAATTTGTCAAATGACCATTAAGTTGAACAATAAGATGGCGAGTATGCCCTACATTCCGTTCATGAGTACACCCACGTTCACACTAGTATCCATGAAAAAATTGGAATGCTGTTTGTAGACCACGTGTAAAAGAAAGCGATCTACTTTGTGTGTTGTAAAATATATGACTATTCTGAACTTTGTTAGAATTCAGTCCTCTTAACTAGATGATACCCTTGGTGGGAAAAATGTTACTATAAAAGGTATGAGTAAGGTGGCGTTTGATGAATCTGAAGTCTATAAAAGTCAAAAGGCTATTATTCAGGTCTGAAATCTGAAAGTAGAAATGATTTTCTGCTTTTTAGAAGGGCTCTGAAAAGATAAGATCGTTTGAGTTGGAGCAATTCTCCAACATCTAGAACTGCAAAGTCTTACTTACCCCTCGAAATAAATTGTTTGTAAATATTAAAAATAAATAAAAAATATTAAATAAAAATGTTATTACAAATATTATGACTTCTTGAAATAAATAATTATTTTAATTAGTTAAAATTATTAGTTATTGTAAAGAAACTGGGCCAAATGGGTCCTAGTATCTTCTCTTGTAATATTTTTTTCTATTTTCCTGTTAGCTAATGAGCCTCTCTTAATGGGCCTGTTATTTCTTTTTATTTGATCTCTTTATGTTATTGCCTAACTGGCTGCCCACTTAAGAGCACACTTGTAATTATTTTAACATTAATTTTTAGTAAAAAGGATTAGAGAAGAAAGGGAAGGATTATTCGAACCTTTCTTCTTCTTCCTCCTCCTTTCTCCATCTTCTTCTCTTGTACTGCTGCTCTTACTTTTCTTCCTCCTTTTTCTCTCTAATTTTTCAAGTTTACACCTATTTTTGAGGACTGGTTTACATCTTGGTATCAAAGCAGGTTTCTTTCTTCCTCTTTTACCATACACCCTTAGATTAAGAGAGTGTATGGAGAGATAGGTTCTCTATAGCTTAGAGGATCTCTGGCCTAGTTGGTAGAGGGTTTGGAGAGTTTAAATCTGGCTAGATATTGCCAAGAAGTGGTGCTGTTCTGTTACTGCCCAAAACCCCAACCAACTAGAGATTTTCAAAGGTACAGGTAAAGGTGAAGCTTTGGGTGCGGCACTCTATGCTTGGGAGGTGTCTTTTGACTCGTAAAGGAGGGCGGTTCAGGTTTGGAAGAGATTGGGAAGCTCTGGTAGGAGCAGCTGCATCTTCTCTCTTCCTCCCCAACAGTTGAATGGAGTAAAACCCTGGTTTTCAAGCATCTGGGTTCTGGTTTGACTTCAAGTAAGTTTATATAGACCAGTTCTTTGATTTTCGTTTGATTAATGGAGCCATACGGAAGTGAGTTCAAGCAAGTGCCGATTTCCGGCCTTGGATCTATAGATTCCGTTTTGACTGGTGTGACCACAATCAACCTAGATGGGACAAATTATCTTGCTTGGGCACAACCTATAAGAATTTATGTTTGTAGTAGAGGAAAACTCGGGTATCTCGCAGGTAGTAAAGTGAAACCCGAAGAGACAGACCCTGAATTTGAGAAATTGATGCAGGAGAACTATACAGTCATTGGATGGTTGGTCAACTCTATGCAACCTCATATAAGTCAACATTATCTCTGGATGTCTTCGGCTAAGGAGATATGGGACAGTGTTACTRARACCTATTCACAAAAGTTGAATGTAGCCAGAGTCTACAAGTTGAAAAGTGACGTGAAGAACCTAAGACAAGGAGAGAAAAGTGTAGCAATCTACTATTCTATACTGAAATCCCTATAGCAAGAAATTGATGTTATGGAGACAGTTGTATGGGAGAGTAAGAATGATGCTGAAATGTATAGGAAGTTGGTGGAGAGAAATAGGGTGTTTGAATTTCTTACTGGACTCAACTCTGAGTTTGACATCATTAGGCAAAATATCTTGGCCAAAGATGAGGTTACTCTTTCCCAAGCATACGCTATGATAAGCAGTGAGGATAGTAGGCGGCAGGTTCAATTACAGAGTCCACCTACAGAATACTTTGCACATGCTGGAATAAAGCCAAACGGTCCTACCGAGAAAAAGGAGCATATATGTGAATACTGCAAGAAACCGAGGCATATAAAGGACACTTGCTAGAAGCTTCATCCTGGGCTTCTTCCTAATAGGTTTAAGAATAACAACAGTTCTAAGAAGGGCAGTCAGGTAGGAAAGCCTAAGACAGCTAATGTTGCTATAGTACCTGAAGGAGGAAATAAGGAGAGTGAAGAAAAATCAACCATTCAGCAGTTGGCGGCAATGAAGGCAGATTTTGAAAAGTATGGGAGGCTGCTAAATCACTTGGAAGCTACTATTTCTTCATCTCACTCTTCCAGCAACACATCATCATCATCATCTGCATTTGCTCACTTAGGTATTCGTGCTTCTGCAAATCATGCTTCAGTTTCAGGTAATCATAAAATCCCTTAGATTATTGATTCCGGTGCATCAGACCATATGACCARCCTGTCTAATCTCTTCTGCTCATACCACCTTCTCTCTGGTAAAGAGAAAATATCCCTTGTTGATGGGTCTCTTGCTCCCATTTCTGGCAAAGGGGATATAAAGACCTCTGACACCCTTTATTTATCCTCTATCCTTCATGTCCCTAAACTTAATACAAACCTTTTATCTATTAGCAGCTTAACTAAATCCATGAATTGTAGCATAACCTTTTTTCCCACCCATTGTGTTTTTCAGGACCTATAATCTCAGAGGATGATTGGGAGTGGCCATGAGGCGAACGGAATATACTTGCTGGACACACCGGATAAAGCTTTTGGACCACCTCATGGAGTTGCCTTGGAGTCAGTCTTGTCAGAGTCTATTGACAAAGTCTTGTTATGTCACTTTCGGTTTGGTCATTTGTCTTTTTCTGCTTCGAGTCGTTTATTTCCAGATATGTTTAAGGGAGTGTCTTTATCGAGTCTTCATTGTGAGTCGTGTGAATTGGCAAAACATTGTAGACATTCTTATTCAATAAGCAATAAAAGATCTCTTTCTCCTTTTCATATTRTTCACTMTGATGTGTGGGGGYCATATCATTTGCCAACTWYGGGGGGTTACAGGTACTTTATCCTTTTTATTGATGACTACTCTCGTTACACTTGGATTTATCTCATGAAATCCAAGGATGAAGTACCAGCTATTGTGCAAAAATTTCATGAACTCATCCTCACCCAGTTTAACACTCRGATCAAAATATTTCATTCTGATAATGCTAAGGAGTATTTTGAGAAAACCCTCTCCGCCTATCTTGAAACTTTTGGGGTTATTCATCAAAGTTCTTGTTCCTACACTCCACAACAGAACGGAGTGGCAGAAAGGAAAAACCAACATGTGGTTGAAGTTGCCAAATCCCTCCTGTTTGCATCTCATGTTCCTAAAAAATTTTAGGGAGATGTTCTTCTTACTGCTACCTTTTTGATCAACTGTATGCCCTCCTGGGTTCTTAACTTCAAAACCCCCTTTTAGCCTTCTCTTCCCAGATGAGGATCTTTTTTTATCTTCCACTCCGTGTTTTTTGCTATGTGCATGTTCACAGCCATCAAATGCACAAATTTGAACCTATGGCTCGTAAATGTGTTTTTCTGGGATATGCCTCCACACAGAAGGGATATTGCTGTTTTAATCCAGTTAGTGGCACCTGCTTTGTATCTCGAGATGTCACATTTGCTGAATTGACTCATTTCTCTGAAGAACCCTTTGCTATGTCTCCAGTTGTTCCTCTTCCCATTCCTCTTGAGTCCTCTCATGAGGTGTCCACTTCTCCCACTGGACCTACCTC